AGGAAGGAAGGAAGGAAGGAAGGAAGGAAGGAAGGAAGGAAGGAAGGAAGGAAAAGAAAAAATAAAGCAAACGAGGGTAGGACTTAATGAAACAGAATTGTCCTCTCTGAAGTGGACCATGCAATTCCAGGGTCCAGGAAAAAGACCTTACCTGTGCTGGGCTCCCTCGACTCCTCCCCAAATCCCTGCGTGTCCTTCTTTTTCCTACAAAGAGGAGCAGACAGTGACCACTTTCAGTGGGACATAGACTCCTCGGTCCCCTGACCCCCACCTCAGAAGGCCACAAACACTAAGCTTCAGCCCTGGCCCTGCCGCTGACTTGCTGTGTGATCTCGGACGGTTCAATTTCCCTCTCTGGGCCACCACAGCCCGGACAACCACAGCCAGGTCAGCAGCCACCGACAGTTTACAAAGTGGCCTGACAGTGCGGGTCCAGGGTTGAGAATCCGGGTTGGGGCTGTTTCTTGGGGGATGGGTCTTAAGCTCTCCAGGAAAGCGAGCAGAGGGACACTAAAGGAACGGCGAGTATGGATTTAATGCCGCTCGATGGCGAGGAGGGTCAAAGCAAGGTAAACCAGGCTGGAGGCGTGGCCATAGGCGAGTAGGGCGGGGCCTGCGACGTGCCGCGAGATGACGCTTATGAGGGCGGGACTACAGGTCCCCCGGATGGAGCCGCAGTCAGGAGCGGCCTACTCACAGCTTAAAGTTCAGCACCGCCCCGGCATTCATCAGCAACGTCCTGCAGAAGGAGACTTATGGTTACTAGGGGCGCCCCCCGTCCTGTCTGGCTCTCTCTTCCCGGCCTCTGGTCCCCCTAATTACCCGAACAGCAGGATGTCTCCGATCATCGTTACGTCCGAAGCGGTTGTCAGAGCCGGAAGCGGAAGCCCCAGGGAAGAGGGGGTGGAGAGGAGCACAATCCGACCAATCCTAAAGCAACGTTGGCGAGGGCTGGGCCAATCGAAGGTGAAGGTCGGGAGGGTCCCGCCCTCTGCAGGCCAGGCCCCTTTAGGGGAGCACGAGCGCCCCACCTTGTTGGGGAGGTCCCGAGAGCCGGAATAGAAGGGGCGGGGCCAGCGTCTGACCTCACTCAGGGGCGGGGTCTTCTGGGGCGGGATTGGGTCACGGGTTCGAAGCGTGCCGCGCTTGCGTGAGGTCTCGTGTGCCGTAGGGTTAGCTGGGCAGCAATTCCTACTCACTTGCTGGGGTCCCAAATTGGGCTTCTGGAGAAAAGGAATCCTTTTGACTCCGGAGCTGCACTGAGTGCGGGCTCCCGACGCAGTGGGCTCCTCGAAACGGGCGCCGCAACCAACTGGGTTCTCAATGAGATCCTTTAGGGCCCCATGGGGGGCAGTGATCCCCACTGAGCTGCTCCACACAAGACTCTGGGGTCCTGACTTCCGGAGCCCCACCGAGGACGGGGTTCCTGATCTAACGGACCCTGTGGGGCAGGAAGTCTTGACCGGACCCCGCAGAGGACGGAGGTCCTAACCGATCCAATTTCCACGGGGATCAGGGGTTGTGATTCATGGGGTCCCACCAGGGCGTAAGGGTCCTCATTGTGCTCCACCGAAGATCGGGGTCCTCCTACTTGAGCCGATGGAGACCAGCTCTGGCTGATTCGGCCCCCTGGGAACCGGTGCCCCGCATGAGGGACGGGTCTCCAGAATGGGTAGCCCCCCAGCCCCTCTCGCCTTGCACTGGGGCCCCGCACCCCTCCTCCCTGGGTGGAACGGGGTCGCGATGGCACGAGGGTCAGCGTCTGGGACGCCCGACCGTCCGGCTCCATCCGTGGGGCTGGGCGTCCCCACCACCTGTCCCGGGGTGGGCCGTCGCCCCTCCTTTCCCGCGGGGGCCGGGCCTGGGGTGGCGCCTGGAGGGCGGGGGCGGGCCCAGCTGCGGGGGCGCAGTCGCTGGGCCGCTGGCGGCGGGACGGACGAGGCCGGGGCCCCGGGTGGCACCGGCGGGCGGGCGCCATGGAGCTGCTCTCGGCGCTGAGCCTGGGCGAGCTGGCGCTCAGCTTCTCGCGGGTGCCGCTCTTCCCAGTCTTCGACCTCAGTTACTTCATCGTCTCCATCCTCTACCTCAAGTATGAGCCAGGTGAGCCGGGGTCTGGGGCTGGAAGGGGCGGGTAGCGGGGGTCGCGGGCGGGAGCAGCTCGGGGTGCGCGGAGAGGAGAAGCCCGTACGTGGTGGAGGGAGCGGGGGGACAGGTTCAGGGATTGCATCGTGGGAGTGGGCAGGCGCGAGAATCGTGGGGTTCTCCCGCGATGAACCTGGGCGGGGGTGAGCCCAGGGTAGAAGCCCCCAGGACGCTGAAGCTGGGGGAGGGGAAGGAGAGGCGTGCGCCAGTTTAGAGGAGGGGGCGCAGGTGCTTTGGGGAGGGGTGGAGAGAAGGCCAGGACTCCTTGTTGGGTCAGAGCTGCAGGAACTTGGGCCAGGGGCGCTGGTCGTAGCGAGGGTGCAGGTGGGGGGTGATGCAGCTGCCCTGGCCGCACGCAGGTGTGACCTCCCTTCTTGACCTTGGCACGCGGAGTGGGAGCGCCAGCGGAGTGTCTATATAAGGGCCGCCGCGCTGGGGGCTGCGGAAAGTGACACCGGCTCCCCTCCCGGCTGCAACTGTCCAGCACCCTCCACTCCCCTCCCTTCCCCACGGCGCTGGACCATTCGAGTCCCCACGGGAATTCTTCCAGCCCTGGCTCCAGATCCTTTCCACCCTCGGAGCAGAACCGGTCCCAGGGCTGGGTGACTTGGGGTCAGCGTCCTCCCTCTCAGCTCCAGATCCCCCGCTGGGGAGGTCACTGGAGGGTAGATCCTGCTTCTTAGATTTTTTAAAAAGTCATTTTTTAAATGAGGATGAATGGCTTCCTTAGAACGTGTTCTATTTTTATATACAAGATTCACCATGAGCAAATGTTTCTCGTTCATCATTATTCTAGCACACCAGCAACTTACTAGAAAATAGATTTTAGACTTAGAAAAATAGCAGAACCTCAAACTTCATAAACCTTCCTCCCACTTAGATGTAAATTACCCCTACAGCTCAGAAAGGAAGTAGCTTTATTCTCAGATGATAAAAACAAGTGCTCCTGTTTACTAAAACTCAAACTGAAAAGGGAAAAGAGAAAAAAGAGAATTACTGTCAACATAATGGTGGCCACCTTCCTGATCTCTCTTCTGTTCATTTATACCTATGTAGTTATAGACGTAAATGCACGCTTTTTTTTTTTTTTTTTTTTTTTTTTTTTTTTTTTTTTGAGACGGAGTTTCACTCTTGTTGCCCAGGCTGGAGTGCAATGGCACGATCTCGGCTCACCGCAACCTCCGCCTCCTGGGTTCAGGCAATTCTCCTGCCTCAGCCTCCTGAGTAGCTGGGATTACAGGCATGCGCCACCATACCCAGCTGATTTTTTGTACTTTTAGTAGAGACGGGGTTTCACCATGTTGACCAGGATGGGCTCGATCTCTTGACCTCGTGATCCACCCACCTCGGCCTCCCAAAGTGCTGGGATTACAGGCGTGAGCCACCGCGCCCGGCCTTTTTTTTTTTTTTTTTTTTGAGACAGAATCTTGCTCTGTCACCCAGGCTGGAGTGCAGTGGTGTGATCTTGGCTCATGGCAACCTCTGCCTCCCGTGTTCAAGTGGTTCTCCTGCCTCAGCCTCCTGAGTAGCTGGGACTACAGGCACATGCAAACATGCCTGGCTAATTTTTGTATTTTTAGTAGAGACGGAGTTTCACCATGTTGGCCAAGATTGCCTTGATCTCCTGACCTCGTGATCCACCTGCCTCCCAAGTGCTGGCATTACAGGCATGAGCCACCTCGCCCAGCCAATGCACGCTCTTATACTAACAGGATTACACTCCACTTGCTAGGAATTTTTATTCTATTTTTGCCTGTTCACATGCCAGAATCTATTTCCTTAAATGCTATCCAGGAGAACACTTAATTTGCAAAACAAAATAGGCTTTTGTATTTTCCTAGCATGAACATGGGGCTATCTTTCTTTTCTGGGGAAGAATTCCTAGTGGCTCAGGCCCAGTCCTTGGGCAACTGCAGAACCCCGCATACCTTAGAAAATCTGAAACTAGCCAGGTGTGGTGACTCACACCTGTAATCCCAGCACTTTGGGAGGCCGAGGCAGGCGGATCACCTGAGGTCAGGAGCTCAAGACCAGCCTGGCCAACACGGTGAAACCCTGTTGCTATTAGAAATACAAAAATTAGCTAGTCGTGGTGGCATGCACCTGTAGTCCCAGCTATTCAGGAGGCTGAGGCAGGAGAATCACTTGAACCCTGGAGGTGGAGGTTGCAGTGAGCTGAGATCGCACCACTGCACTCCAGCCTGGGTGACAGAGTGAGACTCTGTCTCAGTAAAAAAAAAATACGAAAAAGAAAATCTGAAACTGAGGAGGTTTGGATCCTTGTGGGGATGTGGGACGCAAATGTTTCGAGAAAAGAGGTCTCCCAGCTGCCTGGGAACTTGCAAGAAGGTTCAAGATGTTTCTGCAGAAGTCCTAGAATAAACCATCCAAACTCCAAGCGCTGGAGCCTGAAGGTTCCTGAGGCTGAGATGTGGTTCCAAACCCTGGGAGCTTTTTTCTTATCTCCACCTCAGACCAATTGAATCAGAATATTAATCTCCCCTCCCTCAGTGACTGATGTATGTTTTCAGGGCTGAGGATACTCCACCCAGTTCACTCTCCTCCTTTCACAACTGGGGAAACAGGAAATAGTGGCCAAGCTATCTTAAATACACAGTGAGCCTGTGGTCTCACGGCTGGTCAGTTGCAGCCTCGGGACGCAGCCCAGGTCTGCTTAACTCCAAGAATCAGTACAACTAACGTGAGGTACTTGGTTTCCTTAGAAAAAGTAAGGTGTTGGAGGCCAGACGCGGTAGCTCATGCCTGTAATCCCAGCACTTTGGGAAGCAAGGCGGGCAGATCGCTTGAGCCCAGGAGTTCAAAACCAGCCTGGGTAGCATGACAAAACCCTGTCTCTACTAAAAATGCAAAAATTAGCCAGGTGTGGTGGCACACGCCTGTAATCCCAGCTATTTGGGAGGTAGACACATGAGAATCGCTCGAACCTGGGAGACAGAGGTTGCAGTGAGCTGAGATCTCCCCGCTGCACTCCAGCCTGGGCAACAGAGCCTGGGTAAGACTCTGCCTTGGGGAAAAAAAGAAAGAAAAGAAAGGAATTGGATTGAACTGTTAGGCTCAGTTTAGCCTGCATGCTAGGCATCTGTAAACTTTCTTCTCAGAATTTGTATGTTGGACCAGCTACAGAATTTGCAGGGCCCAGAACAAAATATCAGTGTGGGGCCTTTTGTTCAGAAATTAAGAATTTCAGGCCTGGGCACAATGGCTCACGCCTGTAATCCCAACACTTTGGGAGGCCGAGATGAGTGGAGGTGTGGAGTTTGAGACCAGCCTGACCAACATGGTGAAAACCCCTCTCTACTAAAAAATACAAAAACCAGCCGGGCGTGGTGGCCAGCGCCTGTAATCCCAGCTGCTCTGGAGGCTGACGCAGGAGAATCGTTTGATCTTGGGAGGCGGAGGTTGCAGTGAGCCAAGATCACGCCATTGTACTCTAGCCTGGGTGACAGAGCAAGACTGTCTAAAAAAAAAAAAAATAAAAAAAAAAAAATTTCATAGCCAGGCATGAAATTCTGGTGTGTGTCTGTCATCCCAGTTATTCAGGAAGCTGAGGCTGGAAGATCACTTGAGCTCAGGAGTTGGAGCTCAGCTGCGCCTGGTTCAGGCTTTCTTGAGAATCCTGAGAAAGGATGAAGCTCAGAGTGTGGTCCTCAGCTGAGCAGCATCAGTGTCACCTGGGAACTACAGTGAGCTGTGATCACACCAGCGCCCTCCAGCCTGGGCAACAGAGCAAGACCCTGTCTCCTAAAAAAAATAATTAAGTCCAGGCGAGGTGGCTCACGCCTGTAATCCCAGCACTTTGGGAGGCTGAGGTGGGCAGATCACCCGAGGTCAGGAGTTCAAGACCAGCCTGGCCAACATAGTGAAACCCCGCCTCTACTAAAATACATACAAAAATTAGCTAGGTGTGGTGATGCCTGCCTGTAGTCCCAGCTAATGGGGAGGTTGAGGCAGAAGAATTGCTTGAACCCGAGAGGCAGAGGTTGCAGTGAGCCAAGGTTGTGCCACTGCACTCCAGCCTAGTGCCTGGCAACAGAGCGAGACTCTGTCTCAAAAAAAAACAAAAAAATTAAGAGTGTCTGCATAGGTCAGATAATCTTAGCATTTGGGGAGGCTGAGGTTGGAAGATTGCTTGGACTTTGTGAGCAGCCTTGGGCAACATTGTGAAATTCCTTCTCTATTAAAAATACAAAAATATTAGCCAGGTGTGGTGGCATGTGCCTGTAGTCTTAGCTACTAGGGAGGCTGAAGTGGGAGGATTACCTGAACCCTGCAAGGTCGAGGCTGCAGTGAGCCATGATTGTAGCACTGCACTCTAGCCTGGGCGACAGTGAGACCCTGTCTCAAAAAAAAAAAAAAACAAAACAAAAAACAAACCACATCTCCCAATCTGGGGAGTCAGTTCTACCACTAGCACTGGGTAAACACCACACCAATTATTTCACCACCATGAGCTTCAGTTTATTTGTCTGTGAAATGGGATCATTGGTAAGAGATTCCCAGACTCCCTTTCCTAGCTATTGTAAAGATCTATAGAGAATTTTGTCAGTGATAAGGTCTAAGGCATTTGTGAGGGATGGTTATGTTATTTGGAAGTCTGCGGAGCAATGTGTTACTTGGGGTACGGGCATTTTCTGGGTCAGGATTGCTTCTTCTTTTTCTTTTCCTTTCTTTTTTTTTTTTTTTTTTTTTTTTTTTTTTCTTTTTTTTGAGTTGGACTGTTGCTTCCTCGCCCAGGCTGGAGTGCAGTGGCACAGTCTCAGCTCACTGCAACCTCTGCCTCCCAGATTCAAGTGATTCTTCTGCGTCAGCCTCCCAAATACCTGAGATTACAAGCACCCGCTACCACACCCGGCTAATTATTTTTGTATTTTTAGTAGCGATGAGGGTTCACCATGTCTGCCAGGCTGGTCTTGAACTCCTGACCTCAAGTGATCCACCTGCCCCAGCCTCCCAAAGTGCTGGGATTACAGGTACGAGCCACCGCTCTCGGACAACTGAACTTTAAAAAAAAATTGTTTTTTCTTTTCTCTTTTCTTCTTCTTTTTTTCCCTCTTCTAAAGTTTAACAACTCCTGTAAAAAAAAGAAATTTTTTTTGAGACAGGATCTTATTCTGTCTCCCAGGCTGGAGTGCAGTAGTGCAGTCAAACCTCACTCTAGCCTCTACCTCCTGGCTCCAGCAGTCCTCCCACCTCAGCCTCCCGTGGGTCAGGCTTTCTTGAGAATCCTGAGAAAATCCAGAGTGTGGTCTTCAACTGAGCAGTGTCAATGTTCCCTGAGAGCTGGTTAGAAATGCAGAGCCCCTGTGGTGGCTCACGCCTGTAATCCCAGCACCTTCGGAGACTGAGGCGGGGAGGTTATGAGGACAGGAGTTCGAGACCAGTATGGCCGATATGGTGAAACCCCATCTCTACTAAAAATACAAAAATTAGCCGGGCATGGTGGCAGGTGCCTATAATCCCAGCTACTTGGGAGGCTGAGGCAGAAGAATCAGTTGAAACTGGAAGGTGGAGGTTACAGTGAACCGAGATCACGCCACTGCACTCCAGCCCGGGCAAAAGAGCAAAAGTCCATCTCAAAAAAGAAAAAGAAAAGGAAGAAACTCAGAGCCCTAGCTGTTTCTGGGCATGGTGGCTCACACTTGTAATCCCAACACTTTGAGAGGCCAAGTCAGGCAGATCACCAAGGTCAGGAGTTCTAGACCAGCCTGGCCAACACTGCAAAAACCTGTCTTTACTAAAAATACAAAAAATAGCTGGGCGTGGTGGCACATGCCTGTAATTTCAGCTACTCAGGCGGCTGAGGCAGGAGCATTGCTTGAACCAGGGAGGCGGAGGTTTCAGTGAGCCAAGATCACACCATTGCACTCCAGCCTGGGCAACATGAGTGAACCTATGTCTCAGAAAAAAAAAAAAAAAAAAAGGAAAAGAAAGAAATGTAGAGCCCTAGGTCCCACCCAGCTCTGCCAAATGAGAATCTGTATTTGAGCACAACCTCTGGGTGATTTGGCTCATTTCTGGGGCCCCAAAGCTCCATGTGAGGAAAGAGAAGGAAGCAGTGAGTGCTGGCTGCAAAACTGAAGAAATGAAGGGGAAAAAAAAGAAATGCATAGCCTGGCCGGGTGCGGTGGCTCATGCCTATAATCCCAGCACTTTGGGAGGCTGACATGGGCGTATCACCTGAGGTCAGGAGTTTGAGACCAGCCTGGCCAACCTGGCAAAACCCTGTCTCTACTAAAAATACAAAATTAGCCTGGCATGGTGGGGCACACACCTGTAATCCCAGCTACTTGGGAGGCTGAGGCACAAGAGTTGCTTGAACCCGGGAGGCAGAGGTTGCAGTGAGCTGAGAACTCACCACTGCACTCCAGCTTAGATGACAGAGTCAGACTCCATCTCAAAAAATAAAAAAAAAAATAAATAAAATAAAATCCTTTTGTTCTGATATCACCTCTCTTTCATTTAAATCAGAATCATTGGCCTGGCACGGTGGCTCACATCTGTAATCCCAGCACTTTGGGAGGCCAAGGTGGGCGAATCACCTGAGGTCAGGAGTTCGAGATCAGCCTGACCAAAATAGTGAAACCCTGTCTCTACTAAAAATACAAAAATTAGCCGAGAATGATGGTGAGCACCTGTACTCCCATGTACTCAGGAGGCTGAGGTGGGAGAATCACTTGAACCCAGGAGGCAGAGGTTGCAGGGAGCCGAGATCATGCCATTGCACTCCAGCCTGGGTGACAGAGCGAGACTCAGTCTCAAAAAAATAAAATATTAAATAAATAAATCAGAATCGTGGGGCTGGATGAGGTGGCTCAACCCTTAATCCCAGCACTTTGGGAGGCCAAAGCAGGTAGACCGACTGAGGCCAGGAGTTCCAGCCTGGCCAACACAGTGAAACCCTGTCTCTACTAAAAATACAAATATTAGCCAGGTGTAGTGGTGCAAGCCTACGATCCCAGCTACTCGAGAGGCTGAAGCACGAGAATGGCTTGAACCTGGGAGGCCAAGGTTGCAGTGAGCCAAGATCATGCCACTGCACTCCAGCCTGGGCAACAGAGGCAGACTCCATCTAAATCATCATCATCATAATAATAATAATAATAATAAATTCACAATCGCTGGGATTGGCACCAAACATCGATATTTTTTAAAATTCTCTGGATGAGAACTGGTTCTCTGCATTGGGGTATTCCAGCCTTGCCCTGTGCATTTCAGGAGGCTTTATAGCATCCTCCAACCTCTAGAGGCCAGTAGCACCTCCCCCCGCCCCCACCATCCAATAATGACAACCAAAAATGCCCCAGATACTGCCAGCGTCCCTGGGGGCACAGTCTCTCCCAGTTGAGGACCATTGATCTGGATCATAAATCTCAAAACTCCCATGCCTCCAGGGGCCAGTCAGATCATACATGCTACACAGAGGCCAGCCAGGTGGGGACCATCTGTCCCCAGGGGAGAACCAAGCAGGCACAACTCTACCTGGTTGGGGCTGGAACCCCCAGAACTGATTTTTCCTCTGTGTCTGTGTTGGCTGTTCAAACATTTCTTTTTCTTTTTTAAATTAGTAGAACTTGGCTGAGCGTGGTGGCTAACACCTGTAAACCCAGCACTTTGGGAGGGTGAGGCAGGCAGATCACCAGAGGTCAGGAGTTCAAGACCAGCCTGGCCAACATGGAGAAACTGTGTCTCAACTAAATACAGAAAATATTAGCCGGGCATGCTGTCAGGCACCTGTAATCCCAGCTACTCAGGAGGCTGAGGCAGGAGAGTCACTTGAACCTGGGAGGCAGAGGTTGCAGTGGGCAGAGATCATGCCTGGGTGACAGAATGAGACTGCCTCAAAACAAAAACAACATAGAGATAGGGTCCTACTATGTTGCCCAGGGTGGTCTTGAACTCCTGGGCTCAAGAGATCCACCTGCCTAGGCCTCCCAAAGTGTTCAGATTACAGGTGGGAGCCGCTGCACCCGGCCAACCACTGATCTTTCTACCACTGCCGTAGTTTTGCCTTTTCCAGAATGTCCTATGGTTGGAATCATGTGGTGTTTGCCCCTTTCAGACTGGCTTCTTTCATTCTGGAATATGCATTTAAGGTTCCTCCGTGGCTTTTCATGCCTTGATACAGCTCACTGAATAATATTTCATGGTAAGGATGCTTCATAGTTTGTTTTTCCATTTACTTCCTGTAGGGCATCTGGGTTGCAGTTTTAACTTTTGTTTTTTTTTGAGACAGAGTCTTGCTCTGGCACCCAGGCTGGAGTGCAGCGGCACTATCTTGGCTCACTGCAACCTCTGCCTCCCAAGTTCAAGTGATTCTCTTGCCTCAACCTCTCGAGTAGCTGGGATTACAGGCACATGCCACCACACGCAGCTAATTTTTGTATTTTTACAGTTTCACCATGTTGGCCAGGCTGGTCTTGAACTCCTGCCCACAAGTGATCTACCTGTCTCGGCCTCCCAAAGTGCTGGGATTACAGGCGTGAGCCACGGCACCAGGCCTCTTTATTTTATTTATTTATTTATTGAGATAGAGTCTTGCTGTGTCACCCAGGCTGGAGTGCAGTGGTGCGACCTCAGCTGACTGCGACCTCTGCCTCCCAAGTTCAGGCGATTCTCCTGCCTCAACCTCTCTCAAGTAGCTGGGATTACAGGCGCCTACCACCACGCCCAGCTAAGTTTTGTATTTTTAGCAGAGACAGGGTTTTACCTTGTTGGCCAGGTTGTTCTTGAACTCCTGAATAGGCGATCTGCCCGCCTTGGCCTCCCAAAGTGCTGGGATTGCAGGCGAGAGCCACCGCACCTGGTCAAGTTTTAATGTTTTTTATATGCCGTTAGGACCAAAGAAAACTGTTCTTTGATCCCTGGTTTGAGATCTCTGGTTTGAACTACAAGCTTTTTAAGGGCAGGAGGCTATTCACCCTGCTCAACCTTGTGAGGCAGGGGCTGCCGTCTTCATTTTACAGGGGAGGAAACTGGCACAGAAAGCTGAGCTCAAAGGCTCAGGAGGAAGAGACTGGTCCTAGAGTCACTGAGAGACTTGGTCAGTACCCCATGCCTCGTACACTTCCGAGTAAATTGCACGGTGCCGGAGTGCCCTGGGGAGCCTTCTAGCACTGTCCAGCCATCTGCAAATGAGGTATTGACCCCTGGAGAGGGAAAGTCACAGAGTCTATTACAGACCAGGACTTAGGGACCCAAGCCTTTTTCCTCTTGTCTGAGGCAGAGCTGATTTTTTAAAAATCCATCTACTGAAGTTTCCACCCACAGGTACTTTCCATTTCCGCACCATTCCAGAAATACCTCTTGCGTCGTTGCTAGGCACTAAGCAATCTCTTTTTCACTCTTGCAGGCATCTTTGGAAATGACTGATATAGCCCTGGAGTGGCCAGTTTGTCCAGGCTTTCCCAAAACGAGCATCAAAAGTCCCAAGTCCAGCGGGGCATGGTGACTCACACCTGTAATCCTAGCACTCTGGGAAGCCAAGGCGGGTGGATCACCT